TTTATTTTTTATCCGTAAGTCTGAAACATGAATCACGGATCGCTGTGTGCTGACATATCAGTTTCTGAGTTATCAATGCATTTGTTGATGATAGCACCTTCAAAAAGTTGTCTATTAACAAAGAAAATGATCGATTCGATCAGTGTAGTCAATTAATAATGATGTTTTGGTTAGGTTGAAGAACGGTTGGCGCGTGAAGAGCACTTGATATGGCTGTTGAATGCGGTGACAGCTTATATCTATTGTGCATCACCGGACTTTTCGGACGATGACTACTTAAAGTTTATGGACCGCAATCCAGTTCATGTTGGTCCAGCCGTAACCAAAGAGATCGGCGAATCTGCGATTATAACTTTGCTTGAATATCATATGAATAATGATAGTGTTTTTGATGTCAGTGAACATATGGAACTCTACCAGGTGAGTGGAAGCCACTGTCATATCCTTATTTGCCACTTGAATCATTGACCTATCTCAATTGTAATGATGTCGTACGCTGTATTCGGATACTTGTTCATGTTTTAAAGCGATCTGGTTTGATATAATTACTTATTGAGAACAGTGTTTGATGGTCGCCTTTCGACAGAACTTATTAACAAAAACACATCTTAATCAACGGAATAGAGCGATTGGAATATGAAAGACATGAAAAACGAATGAAGACGATGATTACCAACAGATGAACGTTCCACATGTGAATCAGCATATTTTTCACAGGCTCTGTTAGAGACAGCAGCAGCCATGTCAGTAGTGCCCGCATTAGTACCGTATTTGGTACGTCCGCAAAATAACAACTCGAAATCGATAGCGAAGGATCTTGTGTTACGCTTCAGCAACACAATGTCGTCATATCCGAACATCTTCAAAGGTCAAATGGGTTCACCAGATTTCCGTCTCGTTGACTTCATCGCGAAAACAGAGCGATATTCTGAGGTTTGTATCGCATGTTTTCTGCCTTAATCAACCAACAACTGCACGCCATTCATTTTTCGCTTTACAGTGGTTCAGTACCATGTGGCTCATTCAATGAAGATACTCATGAGAATTTTCCTTTTTTCATCCTGACGGCC